TACGCCGGCTTCAAGACATCGGCTAATGTCGCAGGGGGAGAGCCGTCGGCCATGGAGTCAAGAGAGCCCCGCTAGCTCAAGAGTGGAGTCGCCAGCTCAGGGCACGCTCGTCGCTCGAGTGCAAGAGGTGGTCTGCGTCGCTGGCAGCAGCGCGTCGCGCGTACCAACTCGGGCCCATCATGGTCAGCAGGGGCCGGGGGCGCTACCCCTGGCTCAGCAGGCAGCCCAAAGTGGTCCAGGAGTTGCGCATCGAGGGAGGCCGGTGGCCGAAGTCGGGGCCGCCTGCCCTGCGCAACGTGAGCATCTGAAAGTTCGCAGCGGTGCTGAGCGGCGCGTCGAGCCCGGCCATCCACCACATGTTGGAGGCGACGGATCGACACGCGCAAGCGCTGCACTACAGGGACCTGAAACCCAATCAAGACGAGCGGCGGGCCTGGGCCAAGGAGGCAGCAGAAGCGAGGGGCGGCCAGGCGGCCTTCGTTTTTGTTCGTTCGGCAGCTCAGGTTCAGGAGTCGGTCTCCGAGGTTTTAGATGAGGAAGGTGCGCAGTACCTTCCGCTCGGAGGTGACGAGGCAGTCGCTCACATCCTCAAGCAGCGGCAGCAGCCGTGGATTCACGAGCTGCGCGAAGGCGACGTGCACCCTTACATGCGGCGGGGGGCTGAGTTCGACGCAGGGCACCTGCCAGCTCTCACCCTTGTCGCACGGCGCGAAGGCAGGGCTCGGGTGGCATCGGCTTCGCCCGCGTCAATTGCGATAGCTGCCAGTGAGTTACAAGTTACGGTTTCACGACGCGCCGCCGGCTAGGGAAGCCGACCCAGCGGACAGCAAGTTGTCATTGCCGTTGGTTTCCTTACTGCCGAAGCCGCCTCCCAGTGGAGGAGCGCGCCCCGTAGTCTTCAACTGTCTATGGTTGCGGATCTGGAGCAGGATGAGGCAGCCGCCGGCAGCGGCCTGGGAGCGCCAGCTGGGGGGGCAGCTTCAACTGCGGCGGGCGCGGGCCACGCGCAGAACCCGGTTGCCGCCCACTGCGCGCAGCACGACGGCACGGCGGCGGGGACGGCGGCATTGGACCGGACCTCAGCAAGTACTATGAGCACGTCTCCCACGAGGTCCTCCTGCGCGAGACGCGCCCCCCGCTCCCGCCGCTGAGGACGCCGCGCTGCGGCTGCCGCCTGGGCTGGCGGGCACGGTGCGCAGGTGCGCTGGCGGTGGAGATCCGCGCTAACGGCGCGATCGCAGCGGACTGCAGTTGTGCGCTTGTGCTCGCGAAGCTCGCGATCCACGCGCTGCCGGTCGAGCAGGCGCAGAGGTCCCCGCCAGCGCGGGCGCGGCCCCTCGTCGACGACCAGCCGCCGCAGGCCCTGGCACCGTCAAGCTGGTCAGCGACCAGCCCACCAAGACATTGCGCTTCCTCGTCGACGGGCTCGCGACCAGGTAGCTGGTGGTCAATTGGGCCAAGACGGGCTGGATGACGGGCGACGAGGAGCTGGCTAGGGAGCTCAAGAGCTGCCGGCAAGGCGAGCTGCAGCGCGCCCGAGGCATCAGGTGCACTGGTGGAGACGGCTCGTCAGGAGTCCTCAGCAGTGTTGTCGAGCAAGATAAATGGTTGTTGAAGGCCAAGAGATCTGCGCATAAGGTCCACATTCCGAGGGCTGCAGGCGCGCCCGCGGCCAAGATTTCCAGGCGCCCCCCCCCCCCCCCCCCCCCCCACCCACCACACACACACACACACACACACACACACACACACGGCCACCGCTGTCTGGGGGCCGTCGGTCACGGGCATCGCCGATTTGAAACTCGACGGCTTGAGAATGTTCGCTTTGAAGTCCGAGGGGCGGCTTCCAGCGGGAGCCCGCGCGGGCCTCAGGCTCAAGAGCATGCATCGCGGGTTCTCGAGGGGGCCGATCTTGATGCACACGGGCGAAGTAGTGCTAGCCTGGGCCTTCTGCCTGGAGACTTCCTCGCCGTCGCCCCGGGCCCTGGAGGCCGCGCTGGAGGGCTCTCGGGACACCCTGGGTAAGATGCCCCCCCGGGCAAGGCGCTGCGACCCCGCGCGGGCGCCGCTGCTCGCTCTCGCGAGAGTCGGGGTAGAATGATCTCTGCGACTACGTTTCCATGCTCAGAAGGCGAAGTAGATATGCAGTTTGCGTCGCCAGGCAGAACGGCGGCAGTCGCGAAGGGGATGGTTTCCACCGCGCCAGACATTCTTGTTGAAGCGTTACAATAGCTGGGCTTCTGGGCGCCACTGGGCCCCTTGGGCAAGGCCCTGCATGGATAGGCGGAGGCGGGGCTCACTAGGCACGAGCGCAATCTTGTCAGGAGCCTCGCCTCGGGCACGCACTGGCCTCGGGCCAAGCAGGCGAAGCACAAGAAGTCGACGTATGACGCGTGTCAACTGCGCGGCTGTCGGTGCACCCCGTTCCATCGGGGTTTCGATTGCCCGTGCTCGGAAGGCTTCAGACGCGCGGACTTGCTGCCCTCTCTCAAGAGAGCGGCTTGGAAGGCGGCTGCCCTTGGCGAGGATGAGGGGGAGTTTCTGTTGCCAGGTGCCGTTTCCTTCCCCAGGGCAATGCTTTGGAAGGCCCGAAGCCCCAGGAGAGAATTGGGTGCGCATTGTCGGGGCCATGCCTGGATGGCGATGGGGCGGCCCCATCTTCGTGGACGGGTCAGCCTCCCACGCGAAATTCGGATCGCGCAGGAGAGCAGGTTGGGCCGCGGTGCAGATTGACCAGGCAGGCCGCTTCGCAGCTTGCATGCACGGGGTGGTGCCTCGGGGGTGGGGGCCTGACCAGTGGGCTCGGGACGGGGAAAACGATGCGTTCCACATGATTGCTGGGTTTAGTGAGCCCCCATCAGGGGGGAAATGCCGGCATTCCGCTCACCGTTTACAGTGATTGCGTTGGCTCGATCTCCTGTGCCACCTCCTCAGCCATCGCCCTCGACCCCACGAATGAGCGTCGTCACATGTGGCAGTTGTGGCGGTCCAAAGTTGGCCAGCCTGCCTCAGCGGTGAATGTGAAAGCTCATCGGTCGATCCAGGAAGCCACCTTCTGGGACAATGGCTGACAGCTTAGAGAGAATCGCTTGGCGGACGAGTGGGCCAAGAAAGGGACCCAGCTCTGGGCCGCGCACGAAGAGCAGGAACTGTTGTCGAAAGATGCGAGAGACGAGTGGTGCACGCAGCCGAGCGGCAAGGCAGGCTCCATCGTTGGCTCTTTGATGCGGTCTTCAGTGGCATGACAGGCGTTGGGGGGGCGGCGGAGGTGGCCCTCCAGTTCGATGCCTGTCCGATCAATGCTGAGGAGGCCGCTGTTGTGAACGAGCTCGACCAGCGCCTTGCTCAGCGGGATCGGGATGGCCTCCTAGAGGCCATGCCCGCTGAGTTGTATCCTAAGGTGGAGGAGGAGGCCGCTCTGGGTAGGGCTCGGCTCGGCTCTGTTTCTGCTGCTTTCGGCTCCCCTTGTTGGCTCCGCGGCTGCTCCTCCCGACCTGGTGCCCCACTTCTCGGGGCTTCGGTGGAAGGGTGGGAAGACGTGGCGATTCAATTGACACAATGTGATGCAGGCCCCCGTCCTTGGGGACCCTGAAGCGCCTCCAGTTTTGTGTTGTATTTCGTGCAGCGCGAGTATCCAGAACAGTCACAGGCCAGGCAAAGGGCTGGCATGTTTGTGTTTTGGGCCCCGTCATTCCGGGCTACCCACTCAGCGCAGCGGGCTCAGGCGCAGTCTGCACCCCAACTCCATCAGCAACCTTCCCCCCAAGCTCGGTGATCTGTGTGAGCCATCGGTCGAGGTCCGAACT